TAGAAAACATAGAAACAAATGTGATTTAATGTTCACTTCTTGGTAAGAACTTTTATAGAAATAATTTTATAAGTCCAAAAATCTTTTCTGAGCATGTACTCGACATGTGATTTGGCAAATATGTTCACCAAGGCTGGGTCCTTAGAAAGGTGATTTAGATATTTTGTTGTCCTAAAAAAAAAAAACACAAAGTAAATAAGAATGACATTATTTTTCCCAGTTTTACAGGTGGTAAAATTAAGATCTAGATCAACTGACTTGCTTGAGATGGTGTCACTGTCACTTGAGTTGGGCCCACACCCAGTTTACCTGGCATCTAAGGTCGGCTCACTGTCCACGGCATAGATTTTCCAGAGTTTTTGCATCACTTTGGCTCTCTTGTAGCTTCCGACCAATCGCTCATCTATTTTTAGCAGGCAAAACCACTGGGGAAGAGAGAGGTTAACAAATGAAAGGAAAAGATATAAGGTACAAGGACAGAATGAATGTCAGAGGTGGGATAAAAGTTAAAAAAGAAAAGAAAAAGGGCCTAACACAGAAGTCAAGGATAACATTTAAGCAGATGAAATGCATTTTATTTTCACTGGCTTTTTTCTTCCATTTCCCTAATCCCGCAGCACCATGCAATCCCTCCCCCTTTTTCCTGAATCCCACTGGCATTTTGTTGTTGTTGTTCTTCCCTAATGATATTTATTAGATCCTACCCTGCACTAACACACAGTGACATTCACACCCTGACTAAACTCTTTGAAATCATGGTCAATGTTTTGGACAAATTTGTTTCCCCCACTGAGTTTAACGTGTTTGTCGAATAAATGTTATCAGGCTACTTGGGGTATCAGCACTTGACAAAAACCATCTAAATCAAAACTCCCAACTTTGCCTTCCATGAGCAAAAGAGGGACAGATAGGGGTTAGAGACTGTTCTTGGTCTTGGGCATTTAGTGCATGGCAGGCTCTGGGGACGGAAAAGAGAGGGCTGCTGAAGTTTGGGGTTGACAGGAAGCTCTGCTGCTTGGATTCACACAGGGTGGAAAGTGGACTCCACCTTAAAAACTGCCCTGCCCCAACTCTTCATTTGCAGACAAAGAAAGTGAGACCCAGGGAGATTGTCTTGCCCAGGATCATACTTGGTGGTACAGCCGGGATTGGATAGTTTTCAAATAGATTAGTGAACCAAGCAATGGATTAAAACCTTTCTGCTGAGACCCTAAGGTTAGAAACCTAGCATTTAAAATCATTAGCAAGTGTTACAGTATTATGCAGAGAAAATAAATGTGACAAAGTCAGGTCTAAAACTTCAGGTTATGTTTTTGACATTGCTTGGTGATTTCAGTCTAAATGCTGGAGAACGTTCCATGTTCCATTGCTTTTGAGTTCTGACTTGATGAGCAGAGGGAGCAGGGAAGGACATGCCTCGATTTCATTTGTACATGTCGCCTAAGAACACGTAGGGGACACACACCTGCTTTGAGGAGCATGGGACAGATTCCCCGTCCTTTTGAGCATTCTCACTGCCAGAGGGGAAGCTTCCCAATCAGCTGACCTAGCAAGCCTCACCAACAGGTCCTTGGAAAGTGGATCATTTCTGTTCCAAGTGAGAGTAATGAGCAAGGTAATTTTTCTGCTCAGGAAAGAGGAATCCACAGACCCTTTCTTTCCAATGCCACCTTGATTAATTCATTAATGGGTTTCCAGGCAAGTTTTATCCAGGCACTTTGGGACAGGGCAGTGAGTCAGAGGCTGGCATCAAAACCAGAATAGAAGCCATCGTCCTCTCTGGGGATCCTACTCTGGGCTTTAAGGTCCCTGATCACAGAACATCCTAACTGGAAAGAAATGTTCTTAAACAAGAGGAGGGGTTTTGCCAGGTCGGCCAGTGACTAATAAGGTCGGTCTAAGGACTGTCTGATGAAAGAGAAGTTGGGTTTACATGTCACAGCGAATTTTTAAAGCATTTTCACCCGGAGGTTTACTGCTGAATATAAATAAAATCTCTCTCCCTGGGCAATCCCACCCGAACTCCGGCAGATATGCCTTCCTTAATTAAATTAACTTTGAAATGACATTCAAACAATGTCTTCCTATCAAATGCCTTTGTTTTCTTCTAAGATCTACCTTATTGACCACTCCCAGCCTGCACACTAATTGGGAACGAGTTTAGACGTCTCTATAGCCGGTATCAGGTAGCCCTCACATTGTATTTATTGAACCGTGTACCAAATGGCCCGCACACTTGCAATACCAAATATTAAAAATTCAGAAAAAAATTATCTAGGGCGCTTACAGAGGATCGGGTAAATACAAAATTTAAATTTCATCTGCTGAAATTCACACAACTGAAGGCTCTGGAATTTCCCGAGTTGAGGAAAGAATTTTTTTTTTTTTAAATCTATCAGAAACTAGGCATTCGCATTTGTAATTAAAGCTGCTGGGGCTTAAATACATTAAGTCTGAAGCTGCGGCTCCCCTCCAAGGTGCGGGCGCGCAGGCGCGGGCACGCAGATATGGACACACACACACACACACACGCGCGCGCGCCCACACTACCTTCCCTGTGAATCGCCTGCGGGATTTACGGGCTTCGCCACCAAGGATTACTGTCAGGTGCAGAAAGCAAGCCTTTGTCCTCGGGCATTTTCCTCCCCCCGCCCCCGGATTTGACGGTTATTTACCGGCCACGTGAGCGCTGGGCGGGGGTCGGGCAGGGAAACAAAGGCTAGCTGAGCGCGGCCAGTGTGGCCCAGGGACGGCTCCCCAGCTCCTGCGACACCTGTGAAATTAGCCCAGACCTGCCTCCGATTGAGAGGCTCATCCAAGAGAAATCTTGCCCAAGCCCTTATAAAGGTGTCGACGTTTCTTGAGGCCAGGGGAGCCAGTCGGCGGGTTCCTGGGTCGCCCCGGACGGCCGGGGCTTGGCAGGAGCTCCTTGGAAAGAGCGCGCACCCCTGGTGTACCAGTGAGAGCGAGTCTGTAGACAGACCTCGGCTCAGCAAATGAGAAACCGCACACGGGCCCCCTTTGCCTTCGGGAGGAAGTACAAACCCCTCCCCACAGGAGAGGTCACGCAGTGAGCCTCAGACTGCTTACCTCCGCCCCCCCCCCGCCCCCCGGAGTGCCTGGCTCCCAGTGGCTTGCCACCCGGAGGCCTCGGTCGGTGCGCAGTTGTGGCCCCCCTCCAGGGCTCCGATTATGAGCAGCGTGCCTTGGGCGTCAAAATTTCGGAGGCACCGAGAAGTCAGGGATCAAAACTGCAGTGCTTTTTAAAAACAAAGTTAATTGCAAAAAATTGCATGAACGACATAGTAGAGTCTAAATAGAGACAGGATCAGTGCAGAGCCACGCTGAGCCATTTTGTAGTCCGAGGTAAAAAGAAGATCTACTCGGCCTGAGCCAGGATTATCAAGGGATTCGATCTACTCGGCCTGAGCCAGGATTATCAAGGGATTCGCGGCGCAGTGGGCGGGGAGCGCGGGTGGTAGGCCTCGGAGGCGGAGGCCCCCTCCCCAGGCCGGCTTGGGGAGTGGGGGAGGGGTCCGGGGGCCCGGAGGTGCGAGCTCCAAGGAATCGCCCTGCGGGTAACAAAGGCGGAGCGGAAGGCCGAGTTTGGGGCGCGCAGGGGCCCCGCTGCGGCCGTCGCTGCCTGGGTCGTACTTCCAGGGGAGACCGAGAATGGAAGGCCCGACCCCGCCTCCACCGGGGCCCGCGAGCGAGTGGTTAATTCTCACTAACAAGATTTGGCAAGATGTCGGGCGAATAATTTTTGGCTTGTGCCGTGTCCCCACGGCGGCGCGCACCAGCCCCGTGCCAAAAGCGGCCTCTGGGAAATTAAATGCCTAAGTAAAACTGGGGGCGGGAAAAATGCTACATGACCTGGAAAGAGGGATGCATGGAAACCCGAATCATCCCCAGAACTTATGAAATCCTTTACGCGTCCATTTCTCCGGGTCTAGCTTCGTACCAAATGTAGACCGTAACTGTCATTTCCTGAGAAGACCATTCACATGCATGCAAGATGAGGCGAGGACTGTTCCAAAAGCCCCAAACGTCGGGCTTTGCCCGCACCGGGATTCAATCAACATCTTTAGGAAGCGTGGACGGGAGTGGCACCCCTGCCCTCCTCCATAGGAACAACATTCCGGCAATTAATGCCTCCCTCTGGGTCGTAAAGCAACAAACCCGACACCTCACTAGTACTGGGCTGCGGGGCAGGAGGGCTTTTCTCTTTCATCTTGTAAGTTAGGGCTTGCCCACGTTCCTCGGGAAGCCATAAAGCTGATTTAATGGCTTGAGATGAAAATCGATCACGCGAACGCAGAAGCTGACGTCTGAGGGGTCGCTTTGATAAAACGACCCGCCGGGCGGAACGCACTCTGTACGCCCGGGGGCGAGGGGGGGTCCCCGGCCAGGCCCGCGGGGCAGCGTTGCCCTCTCCACTTCGGTTTGCGGGAGGAGACCTGCGAGGCTGCTAAGGGGGAAGCACGCGGGCAAAAAGGAATGAAACCTCCAAACCGGGCCCCCGCCTGCGTTAGGCCGGCTTCCCGGCGGGCCGTTTCGCGCACGCCGAACGCCGCATCGCCAGGGCGGAGCGGAAGGGCTGCGCGGCCCGTAGGGTCCGGGCGGGAAGCGCGCCGGGGAGGCCGGGGCCGGCCGGCCGGCGGGCGGGCTGCGACAGGCGCTGCCGCGCTCCATTCACAAAGTCCCGGCGCGGCCGCTCGCCTGCCGGTCGGAGGCCGCCTCCCTCTTCCTCTAGGTCTCGGTTTTATGAATGGGCCTGAAGGCGAGCGCCGAGCGCCCTGTTTACTCTGCTCTTTGTGACGTCGCGTTCCCATGACTGGGCGCGAGCGGCCCGCTCTCCATTCACGCGCAGGGGAGGGGGAAGAGGAGGGACGGGCGGGGCGGAGGGAGCCGGCGCGGGGCGGGGAGCCGGCGCGGGGGGCGGGGGGCGGGCGCGAGGCCCAGAACGGCAAGAGGCGGGGCCTCGCGCGGTAGTAATGAATCTGCCCCCGCCCGAGGGAGAGCAGAGGAGCGTTAATACATCTACGAGCTAAAGAGGAAACTCTGGCTGGGGCAGCGAGCGGCGGCCCGAACGGCAGCGCCGGGGGCGGCTACGGCGGCAGCGGCACAACGGACAAAATACAATAGAGGCAGCAACAGAAGGGAGCCCGTGGTCCTCTCCTCTCCAGTAAACACACTCCCCTCCACCACCCCCTGCAGCACCGCGCGCGGTGCCGCCCGGTGCCCGAGGCCGCTCGGACTGCTATGTAACCGCGAGACCGCGGGAGGAAGGGGACCGGGGAGAAGAGGCTCGCCCGTGGGGGCCAAGTTTGCGGCCACTTCTGCACGCGCTTTCCTTAGCCCCCGCTTGCAGTTTCCTGCAGCCCAGCTGGCCCGGGTGTCCTTCGCCGCCGCCTCGCGTGCCCAGCAGCCGCGGCTCCCGGCGACCATGGTGACGGTGGAGGAGCTGCGGGAGATGGACTGCAGCGTGCTCAAAAGGCTCATGAACCGGGAAGAGAACGGCGGTGCGGGCGGCAGCGGCAGCCACGGCGCCTTGGGGCTGCTGAGCGGCGGCAAGTGCCTGCTGCTGGACTGCAGACCGTTCCTGGCGCACAGCGCGGGCTACATCCGAGGCTCGGTCAACGTGCGCTGCAACACCATCGTGCGGCGGCGGGCCAAGGGCTCCGTGAGCCTGGAGCAGATCCTGCCCGCGGAGGAGGAGGTGCGCGCCCGCCTGCGCTCCGGCCTCTACTCGGCGGTCATCGTCTACGATGAGCGCAGTCCGCGCGCCGAGTGTCTCCGCGAAGACAGCACCGTGTCGCTGGTAGTGCAGGCGCTGCGCCGCAACGCCGAGCGCACCGACATCTGCCTGCTGAAAGGTAAACTCGGGCACCGGGGCGCGGGCCGGAGGGTAGGTGTCGCGGGGTTTGGCGGCCTGCGCCTTAGTGGCCAGGGGAAGAAGTGCCCGCAGGGACTCGTGGCTGCGAGGCTTTCCGCGCACTCCTTTGTGCGTGCTGGTGTGCATGGGTTTGCAAGGTTTCTGCGCGTTTGGGTGCAAGTGCGAGCGCCTGAAGTCCTCAGAGACGGTGAGGGTGCGTTTCCTCTGTCACCTGCAAGTCGGTACGCTTCCTAGAGACCGCATTTGTTTACACTCATTAACCGTCAGATCTCTTGGGCGTAGCGGCTCAACTGCGTTGCCCACCCGTATCTAGTCCAGGGAGCTGCTCCCAGTGCCGCTGTGCGGGGTGGCGCAGGTCAGGCCTGTTGGTTTGGCTTGCTCGGGCCCTGCACGGAGTCCGACCCCTTGAACCCAAGAGGTGGGGAAGACGGCGAAGAAGGGAGAGCGCCGAGGTGGGATCGGCTCGGTAAACGCAGAAAGGAAGATCGGGTTGCGGACATGGTGTGCGGCTATCTGCTGCCCGACTCCGAGCTCCGTCTGGAAGGTGGCCAACTTCTCCCGCCTCGGGCCGACCCCAGCTCCGGGAGCGGGAGCGGGAGCGGGGATGGGGGGTGTGGGACTGAGTGTTTGGGGAACGCGAGATGGGACCGTGCCTCTTAAATTCAGGCCACAGAGAAGTACGACCTTTTGTTCAGCCAGGATTCTCCGCGGTCTGTCAGCGCGTGCTTGACTTACGTGAACCCTGGCAAAACTCTTCGGGGACAGGAGTTCTGGTCAAATCCGGAAGTCAGAAAGGACGCAAAGGACCTCATGCTAAGTAACCGGAGGGACGGTGCCACGGCCGCACCTGCCGGGCCCTGTCGAGTCCCGGTCCCTGACGTTGCTCGCGCGGAAGAGCGGACAGGACGGGGTGTGCGTAGGGGCGCCCCTGCCGCGCTGCGCCCCTTCCTCCCACAGCCGCATTCCGCGCATTCTTTCGCCCGCGTCCGGTCCTCGCCTCCGAACCCCAGAGGCGTTTCAGACCCCGGCCTTCAAAGAGCCGCTCCTTTCCCTGCTGGCGACCTTCGCCTCCTCCCTCCTTTCTTTCTCCTCCGGACCTGCTCACCCCAGAGGAAGGGAGGTGGTGGCGGGAGGAGGGGCGGAAACCTCTCCCCACCGCCCTTTCCAAAAAGCACAACAAAACTGCTCAGTGCCGCCGAGCCGGGTTCGCCCCTGCCGAACAGCGGGGGGCTTTGTTCTCGGCAGTTGTTTCCTGGCCATTTGACCTGTCAGCTGCTGGGGAAATGCTGCTGTTGACCTTTGGTTGAACTACTAAGGCGATTTTGCTGATTTTTCTTTCTCTGTGAGAGCTGCCTTTTGCACCTCCGATCCAGCCTAATCTTCCTTTCTTCTCCCCAAAACGCTTTAAGAGAAAGTGCCGGGAAGGGGTAGCACCGGAAGGACCGGCGAGCCGGGCGCCTGGGACCCGGGGGCCGAGCTGTGCCCGGAGCCGCCCCCCCCCCCTCCGGCAGACGCACGTCCCGCTTCCTCCCGCGCCCGTGTGGGGGTCTGGGGCGGCCGAGCGCGCCTGCCCTCCCCTGCCTAGTGCCGGCGTCCATGGCGACAATGGGAGAAATTTCTCCTGGGAGAGGTCGCCCCTTCGGGTGGCACGGGCTGCCCTCCGTGCCGCGCTGCTCTGGATCCCTCCTGATGGAGAGCTCGAACCTGCGCGTTGCCTTCGCCGGCTCGGAAGCCAGGGCCTTTATCGAAGTAGTGCAGACCCACGTGCAGCCTGGCTGCGTTTTGTTTTGTTTCTCTTCCTGGAGGAAACCCGTAGGGGATCGCTCTAGAGCAGCAGCTCGGGGGCCTTGGCCCCTGGGCTTCTGGGCGCGAGGACGCTTAAGCTCGGGACTAGGAGGCATGTTTTTAAGGTTTCCTCCTCCCGCTGGTGTGGGCACCTCCCTGGTCCCGTGGGGAGAGCCCAGAGCCAGATCCGTTCTGAGAGCCGCCCTGTCCTGCCGTTAAGCTGTTGGGCGCGAGGCTAATGCTAAGGACTGAGTGGGACAGAAGCCTCTGGGTAAAATGACAGTTCCCTGGTCGTTGGCGAGGTCCTTGGACCGAGAAAAAGGAGCGTTCTCACGGCTCCTTCCTACTGGGCCCCTGCATAGCTTCCTGTTGTCTGACCTGGGGTGATGGGGAGGCCCACCCTTGGCTTCTCAAAGTCGACGTCCTTTAGCGTCTAGGCCTGGGCAGCAGGTTGAACTAATGCGTCTTAAGGAACGGGCCGGGGGAGTAGCCAGGACACTTAGCTGAACAGCTGCGTCTTCTAAGCGACAGGAGCCTGCTGCTGGAAGCAGCCGTGTAAAATTCGGTGGTGGTGGTGGTGGTGAGGGGCTTGTTCTGTAGTCATGGTTGAAGTTGTCAGGGTCACAGGGTCTTATTCTGTTTAACCTGGCTTCCTTTCATATGTGTGCTAAGCAGGGGAAGTATTAACACCGCCCCTCTTCCTTCCCTTGACCCCCTAATGAAAAGGCATCTCCAGTGAGTTGAGGACCCAAAGAACCGGAAGTGTCTGCTCCCCACACCCCTGGGAGATCACAGACGGGCCTCCTAAGTCCTAGCGGCGAAGCCAGTAAAAAAAAGGGAGAAAATGTGGGGTCATGGAAGGGCACTCTGGGGGCAGAGAACTAATGGGAAACCAGGGAAGAAAAGCCCCCTAGATTATCTTTAGTAAAGGGCTAAATTGATTAAGAGTTGAGTAATTTGGTTTCCATCCGTGTTGTTCGTTGTAATTTCCATCTAGTGGGACTTTATGTATGTCTCATTGCACATGTGGTGGGGAATGTGAGAGGAAAGTGGCCAGACCCGACTGTTGTCCTCTGCCAACCTACAGGGATAGAAAAACAGCGGAATAGTTTCGGAAGTTATCTGTTATCCTTCCCAGTCAAAGGCTATCTAATTCTGCCAACTAATTGTGTTTAATAATCTGAGTTTTCTGTTTTTGCCACGTGGAAGGCATTGGTAGAAATGAGTTAACTGCAGGTAGTTAACCAAAAGCACATGCAAGAATTCATAGTTGAGAGTAAATGTTACTTAATATCAATACAATGCTGCCTGGGTTTTATATTTCGTACATGTTCTCCAAGCTTTGCTAAGAGTGATAACCTGAATCACTATGTTCTCTGGTCTTTTTGCTAGTAAAAGATTGCCATTGGGGCAGACTCCCCCCCCCCCCCCCCCCCCCCCCCCCCTGCCTTTAAGCTCATTTTATTTAAAATCCTGTAAGGCATTTTTTAGGGAAAATTTAGAAATTTCAGCTTTTCAGATTTCATTACAGTACACATCTCTTTTGAAATCCCTTTTTGTTTCCTTCATAAATCCTCAGATGAAGGTTTTAGACCCTGGTCATGAGGGAAAGCTGAAAGGGGCGTTTTCTTACCCTAATAGAAGTCATTCTTTGCCTCCCATATTTCTCAAGTCAGTCAGTCTTACACAGAAGGCCTGAGGTATAAAGACACTATTTTACTTTTTTCCTGTCTCACATTCATCTCAGCTCATGAATTTTGTCCCTTTTTTATTTAAGTTCCGATTTAAAAGTTGTCCTGGCGCTGTCTTCAGAAAGTGGAGCGATCCATTGAATATTCCAGCTCCTCCCTCCAGGTTGGGGGCTCACATACACTGTAGGCCCGAGGCCTGACCCTACGCAGTGTGTGACATTATACTTTCTGTAGAAAACAGCCACCAAGGCCAAGGATTGGGGAGGGGGCGGTGCTCAGCCAGCCGCTCTAGTGACTCTGGTGACAGCCTTCTCTCTTGTCTCTGTCTCCATTTTCCCAGCCCATCCTAGTCCCTCAGGAGGTCAGAGGCATCAAACAGCAAACCCTGGGGGTATAAGGTTGCACACGTCTTCGACCCAAAGAGAAACGGACTGGCTTTTCTTCTTACAAATAGGACACCGTGCCCGTAACAGCCAAGGCTTGAGAGCATTAGAATTACACAAAATGGCAGGCGTTAGAGAGAATCTCTCGCCTCTGTTGTCATTCGTTAAAGAATGACCGGAACGAAGCAAACTCGCTTTTTCGTATCCTTTGAACTGGACATTTCCAATCAACAGAAGTAACAAAGACAGGGTATAGGTATCAATTGAAAGTGAAAACCCGATCACTAGGAAGCCTCTCACAGGTGCCTTGGGCTTGTCCTGAGGGTTTGGAACTGAGGGAAGGTTGCTTTCTCAAGGAGCCAAGAAATTCCTTTAAAAAATCAGAACATCTGAAGCCAGATAGCCAGTTTCCTTACTGGGAGGCAGTTGCCGCCTAACAAAGGAAGTTTGACAGGAAGAAAACTTCACTCCCCAGCGGAAGGCGGCACAGGCCAGCTTGCTGAATGTAGCAGAGAGCCCAGAAGCACTGGGAGGGACCCTGAACAGGCTTCAGCCCCAGGGCGGCACTGTCAGCCAGCTGAGCTAGCCCAGGACGCTCGGGTTTGTGCATGGGGTCCCCGAGTGGGAAGCTCACTTAGGTGAGTCTTCAGCACTGCTCAGCATTTATGTGGGTGCTTACTAAGTTAACGCCCCCATGAAGGGGAGTTCTCAAAGCCAGGTGACCCCACACTTCCTTGCTGGGCAGCTTGGCCTTGTACTGATAATGAAGTCCCAGGAGAGCAAGCTTCTGTCTGTGAATGGGTGACGTTCTGAGTGTTGAGAGAGGGTAATTGGAAGAGCGACAGCCATATCCGGATCCGTGACCATTGTCCCCACCATATGACTGGCTTCCCCATCACCCTGCTGTGGTGATGTGATCAGCACTGCATCAGCCTGTCCTTTCTAGAGCACTTTTACGCATACTGTCTCAGCCCTGCACGGACGGGTGGCCCAGTGGGTCATCGTTTTAGTAAGCTGTGACAGTTGTCTTGCTTTGTGTGAGAAAAAGAGTGCAGAGTTCAGCTATGGATGTGGTTACCCCTTAAGAAAGTTGGTGGGGAAGGATTATATTCCTTTTCTTCCCTCTAGACGCTCAGGTTTCAAAATGAAGACGAGAAAATGAGAGCTTTAAGACCAGAAAGTCTATTATTAGGGACACGGGGGAAAAACAGGTCAAAAGTAGTCAGAAGATCTGTTATGGAATTATATTCTATCGAAACTACACAGAAGAGGCGGAAAGTCATTGGTGTACATGTCGTGATGAAGTTGCATCCAGAAGCTAGAAATGCAGATCTTAGACACCTGTCGGTGTGACTTTGCAGATGAGTTTGTGACCTTTAGGATCAAGGCATATTAGGCGTCAAAGAAGATAACGGTCTGAAATCCTTACATCGTGACCTTGTAGGGACACGTCTGAAACCAGAGGTCCATGAACTTCTACCTTCTTTAAATGCAGTGCGTTCTAGAAGTTTCTGTCTTGTTCTTAAATAAAAAAGTGCTAGTCATGACTCTTAGGACAACCTGTAGTTTGAAAAAAGCACTGGAAAGACGTGGAGTTCGGTGACATGTCAGGAGTGTCCTGTTCGGATCTTTTCTGTTTCTACATGAAAATTCTGTGTCTTCAACGGGATGACCCAGCAGTCTGTGCCTCCCCCAGGAGAAGGACCACCTGGCGGGCAGAGATGGGCACACAGCAGGGTGGGCTCCTGACGGCCGAGTAGTAGGTGGCTTCGAGGCCGGTGGCCTGAACGCTGGCACTGCCCCTAACCTGGGGTTGCCCTGTGCCTCAGTTTCCTCGTCTGTAAAACTGGGGCCAGTCCCCCCTCAAGGACTGCTTTGGGAAGAGCCTGGCACATAGCGAGCTTTTCCTCTATCCCTTTTACTAACGTGGAGCAGATACCCGGAGAGGACACGCTGGTCTCGTGGGGTGTGGACGTGGGTCGTTCCTAACTTGCAGCCTTCCGTCGCTGCCTCCCCGCCTGCGTGCTCTGGGGCTGTCCTTGCTCTGCTCAGCCGAGGTCCCAGCCCAGTGCAGCTCATCCGCCTGCAGGAAGGAGTTCCTTGGGTGCAACTGCTCGTAAGGGTCAGCCACAGACCCCCCCAGAGCTAGCAACAGCTCAGGAGGGAGAATCCCTTCCAGGGCTGCCGCTGCCTGGGACACTCCAGTCCCTCGGGCAAATCTGTTTTTTCACTTGGTTCCTTTCTACCTGTTTAAAGATCTGCCAGAGGGAACGGACCTCCGTAATCAGGGTTCTGCTCCGTCCTAATGCTGCCTTCTCCCGCCCTCTCTGCCCAGTTATGAGAGGCTTGGGGGTGGTGCGGATGACAAGTGGGCCCCCTCAAGCCGGGTCTGGGTCCCCGGGTCATCTCTGTCCTTCGCAGTTGGCTGCCCTCTGGAGCCTTGGGCTGCGGGCGCTGTGCCCGCTGTGGGGTGGACTCAGGATCGACCTGGGGGCAGCGGGAGTCCCCGATGGGGAAAGGTCCTGGAGCTCAGACAGTGCAGTGCCTGCCCTTCTGCTGTCTAACTACCAGATCCCCAGACTGATTGGGGAAAAAAAAAAGCAAAGCCCAGGAGGAGAAGGCTGTCCAGAGTCTAGGAAATTGCCAGTAATGCCACAGTCCCCCTGTAGGTGCCAGAAAAGGAAGTCTTCAAGGAGATGACCGCCCCCCCCACCCCCCACCCCGGGCCAGGCGCAGAGCACTGGCCGTTCCAACCTGTCCTCAGAGAATGCTGGGCGCAGATGTTTCATCATGTTTTACAAGTGAGGGAGAGGCTCAGAGAGGTTCGATGACAGGCCCAGGCTGCACAGCTTGATGATTTTACCAGGTGGGGATTCAACCCAGGCCTGTTCAGTGTGGCGCCCTGTCCTGTACCTTGTCAGCAACGGGAAGGGCATTGTGTCCCCCACTCTGAGGCCCCTCCTACTTCCACTGCCCTTGGAGGGGGGGTGCTCCTCCCCTGTGACCTTGCAGCCTGGCCCTGGCACCCCTGGGACTCCAGCACTTGCTTTCAGTGGGAGGCACTGCTAGGCTGCCGGTCGCGCTTTGGAAGTGCACCCACTGGGCCTTCCATGGACCTTTGAAAAAAAGCCTATTTGAATAGCTCAAGTTATGTAATAGACAGGAATCATTTTACTTAAAATTATCTTTAAATCCTATAGAAATACACAGAGTAACAACGAATGGCCTTGTAGATTCAACCGTGGTTTGTTGATTGAGCCATTTCTCTTTCCACCTTTCAAAGGAGAACATTTCAGGAAGTTTCCCAGAGTTCTACCTCAGGAACGGGAGCTAAAGACATTTGCTGGCTCTTCCCCCAGTATTCACTGCATTTGGGGCAGCAATGTTGGTAGCCTTGTAAAGAAAAGGGGGTGCTAATGGGAAGGAGGGGTGCCCCTGTGCTGAGATGACCTTGAAGGCCTCCCGAAACTGCCAGGACTGGCCCCTCCCCTCCAGGGGAGGCCGGTTAAGGAGCGGGGCCTGTGACCAGAGAGCTCCCCATTTATATCCCGAGAGATGGGGTGGAGGGGAACGAAGACTGGGGCAGAGAGGAAAAAATGTATACTCTGTTCCATGAGCCTTATGATGTGGCAAAGCAGCATTCCCTTCCTCTGCAAAGCAGAATTTTCTAGGGGTGGGGTCTGGGCAAGGAATTGACTAACTGTGACATGTCTGCATGTCGGAAGGTTACCGCGAATGGCTCTAGGAACTCGGCACCGTGCCGCTTACACGTCAGCATTTAATTGATGCTAGCTGCATTCATGACTGTTGGTTGAATGGGTCCGTTACAGTGGATGTCCCATAGCCTGTGGGCTCTCCTGAACGAATTTATAACATGTTTTGGGTCCTACAGAAACTGCCAGAGAAAAATACAAAGCAGGGCCACACATGGACTATGGAGGCTAAGTTACTCGCAAAGCAAAGCCCCAGAACTGACGAGTAAATCAGATAGGGACCAAGCCCTTTTCTTCTCCTAGTGTTTTCTGCCGCTCGCCAGCCTCTCTGCCCTCCCCCAGCCAGCAGGCGCTTTTCGCTTTTCGGCTTGGCCCTGACACTATTCCAGAGAAGTCGGTCCTTTATCTCTTTTTACTTAAAAGACCTCCCTTCCCCGGAAGACGATCCCACAGATAACCATTCCAGAGCTTAGCAACTCTCAGGTCAGGAAATCCTGCCTTGCCCCAAACCTGTATGTGGCAAGAGGGATTTATATTTAAGCCCGTTTCCTCCTCTTTTGGCCCCTTGCTGATGAACAGCTGTTCATGAGGCTGGGCGATTGGCATCTGTTCTGTTGCGGAGATCCAGAAAGGCTGGTGCCAGGGTAAATTTTTCCCCTTCTCTCCCACATCGTAGAACCTCTCCAAAGGCTGGACTGGAGGGGATCACAGACATCTTTGCAGGTCCCAGGGCCCAGCACCAGGCTGCCTCGGGGCTCCCAGAGACACATGGTGGCCTGTCTTCCATGCTTTGTTCTGTGGCAAGACCCCTGCACGTCATCCTTTCTGTTATATGCCTCCCAAACCCAAGTCCTGCTGCTAAAACTTCCCTTCCAGCCTTCAAGATGCCTTCCTGGCCAAATGCGGCTCTGTGAAGCCTCCGTAGCCATGATCTCTGGGCCCACAGCGCCACCCGGTGGCCAGTGTAGGTCTGACCGGTCCCAGCTTCCCAGCCGTTCTCAGTCCAGGGATTGGATTCAAGTACTTCCCTGGTGTTTTGCTGGCTTTGTGACTCTCTTAACCCCATCGCCTTTCTCTTTTAAAGGTGGCTATGAGAGGTTTTCCTCCGAGTACCCAGAATTCTGTTCCAAAACGAAGGCCCTGGCCACCATCCCACCTGCTGTGCCCCCCAGCACTGCCGAGTCCTTGGATGTGGGCTGTGGCTCCTGCGGAACCCCTCTGCACGACCAGGTAGACCTGGGGCCCAGAGCCTGGGAGAAAGGGGCGATGAGGGGGGGCAAGGGGGCTTATTTTCAGATTTGTGCTTTTCAGAGGCTTTGGATCCTGTGCCTCAATGTGGGGGGAATGGAGTGAACCCTGCGTACTGCGGTTCAGTGTTAGGGAGGGTCCATTTGTTCCTTCTTCCGTCTTATCACCCTCATTTGGAAAAATAACAAAGATCTAACTCTCTGACTTGGCCTCTAAAGTTATGTGTGGACACGTCGGGATTGCTGCAGCCAGAGCGTGTGGGCTGCTGTGTAGAAAGAGCCAGGCCACCCCCTCCGTGTCCGAGCCAAATGCGAACGCCAAATGGACATAAATGGTCGGCCAACCCTCCCCCAAGAAAATCAGCTTAAGCTGCTCTGTTTCTTTTCTTTTTTTAATTTTTTAAATTTTTTTTAAAAACGTTTTTTATTTATTTCTGGGAGAGAGAGAGAGACAGCATGAACAGGGGAGGGTCAGAGAGAGAGGGAGACACAGAATCTGAAACAGGCTCCAGGCTCTGAGCTAGCTGTCAGCACAGAGCCCGACGTGGGGCTTGAACCTACGCACCGTGAGATCATGACCTGAGCCAAAGTTGGATGCTTAACCGACTGAGCTACCCAGGTGCCCCTGTAATGTTTATTTTTTGAAGGAGAGAGAGACAGTGTGAGCAGGAGAGGTTCAGACAGAGAGGGAGACATAGAATCCGAAGCTGACTCCAGGCTCTGAGCTGTCAGCACAGAGTCCAACGGGGCTCGAACTCCTGAGCCGTGAGATCACGATCTGAGCTGAAGTCAGATGCTCAACTGACTGAGCCGCCCAGGTGCCCCAAGCCGCTCTGTTTCTTACCAGCCTTTTCACTTAGACAGACAGAGAGTGGATTTATGGGGTCCAGCAACTCTGCTCCCAGATCATTCGAGTTGATCTGACTTAGACAACGTCATGAATTGAAGCCCACGTTACCTAATAGATCCTGCCTCTTGTCAGTGAGGCCGACACAGCCTTTGTTTCTTTTTTTTTTTTCTTTTTTATTTATTTTTGAGAGAGAGATAGAGACAGCATGAGCAGGGGAGGATCAGAGAGAGAGGGAGGCACAGAATCCGAAACAGGCTCCAGGCTCTGAGCTAGCTGTCAGCACAGAGCCTGATGCGGGGCTCGAACCCACAAACTGTGAGATCGTGACCTGAGCCGAAGTCGGACGCTTAACCGACTGAGCCACCCAGGCGCCCCTACACAGCCTCTGTTTCTAATGTGCCAAGTGAAGTAAGTCCCTGCACCACATAACAGCCTGGCGACGAGTCAGGTGTAGACCCGTGTCCTAAGTGGTGTGGCAAGGCCCGCGTTACGTCTGCCACCTCATTTATCAAGGAGGAGGGCTGCTTGAACCTGCAGGTGGACCTTTACCTGTCTTGGGTTTTCCACTCCCAGCAGAGCAAAGTGTGAAGGCTAGAGACGCCCACCAGGCCTTTCGTTCCGCCGGGAGCCCCAGCAGGCCAAGGGGAAGCCTGGAAGGGCTGGCTCTCCAGGCGTTCTCCCCTGGGCCTGTGAAAGCCCACCTCGCACAGCTTCCCCCCTCCCCGCCCCCAGCACCCCAGCCCTTTTCCCGGTTGCCTTACACTCAAGATGTCTGGGGGGGACTCCGCTTTCTCTTTCTGGTACAGGGGGGTCCTGTGGAGATCCTTCCCTTCCTCTACCTCGGCAGTGCCTACCACGCTGCCCGGAGGGACATGCTGGATGCCCTGGGGATCACGGCCCTGTTGAACGTGTCCTCCGATTGCCCAAACCACTTTGAAGGACACTATCAGTACAAGTGCATCCCGGTGGAAGATAACCACAAGGCAGACATCAGCTCCTGGTTCATGGAGGCCATCGAGTACATTGGTAGGTTGGCTCCGGTGGCGTGCAGGGGGGAGGCCGAGGGCAGGAGGGCGGGAGGGCACCGCGCGGACTCGCTGTGGAACGAGGGACTGAGGGGCGCGGTCTCCGGGGTGTGCCCGTTTCCCCTGTGCTCTAAGGCAGGCTCACTGCCTGGACGTCGTGTTGGGTGGGGATAGGAAGAGAGACTGCCGGCCGTGCTGTTAGCTTACCTAGCCGACGAGGTTTTCCTTGCGAGGCTCCAGATGTCTCCGTGATGAGGCTTTGGGGATGGGGAGGAAACAAAGGGAGAATCGGGTCGTCGTTTTTGTGTCTGCACCTGGAAGTCCTTGAAGGTATGCTGGGATTTAACTGGCTTTGCCATGCATTTTCCCCAAGCTTAGTGCATTTGTTTGGATACGTCTGGAAAACTGGCCCAGAACGGGTGGAATCCCAGAGTCCTTTGCAGTGGGCTTCTTCCTCCCCTTTCTCAGCCACGAATATTCTTCCTAGAATGGGAGCGCCCCTCCCCCAGCCCCCCCTCCCCCCCATGCGCCGGCTGCACCTGCCTTCTGGGGAAGCCTGGGGCTCGCGAGGGGCACTGACCGCCACCCCTCTGCCCCTGCCCCAGATGCCGTGAAGGACTGCCGCGGCCGGGTGCTGGTGCACTGCCAGGCGGGCATCTCGCGCTCGGCCACCATCTGCCTGGCCTACCTGATGATGAAGAAGCGGGTGCGGCTGGAGGAGGCCTTCGAGTTCGTGAAGCAGCGGCGGAGCATCATCTCGCCCAACTTCAGCTTCATGGGGCAGCTGCTGCAGTTCGAGTCGCAGGTGCTGGCCACGTCCTGCGCCGTGGAGGCCGCCAGCCCGTCCGGGCCCCTGCGGGAGCGGGGCAAGGCCACCCCCACCCCCACGTCGCAGTTTGTCTTCAGCTTCCCGGTGTCGGTGGGCGTGCATTCGGCCCCCAGCAGCCTGCCCTACCTGCACAGCCCCATCACCACGTCCCCCAGCTGCTAGGGCCGCTCCGAGCCGCCCCTGAGCGCGCCGGCCCCGCCGGGACTGACCAGCGCGGCCAGCGGGTGGCCAAGCCCCTCCCCGGCCGCCCCTCCTGGGCCAGCCTGGAGCCAGCTAGAATGGCAATAAGGACTTCAAATACACATAACCACGAGCAAACAAAACACTCCAACCTAGAGCAATAACGGCTGCGGCTGCCTCGGCGGGCAGGGAAGACCTTGGTTTGGTTTGTGTGTCTGTTACTTTTCAGATAGGAATTTCTTACCTCATTTTTTTAAGCGGTAAGGCTTGAAGTTCGGAAACCCACAGATCCTGGCAAATGTGCCCATCCGGTTTTATTAAGGGGGGGGGAGGGGGGGGGAGTGGGAAAGGGACACAAAGAAAACGAGGTTGCCAGAAGTGCCTGGTTCTGTGTGCTTCGTCCTTTATTGGTTCTTGTAACAGGTTTTATTATTTTTGTTTGTTTTTTGTTTCTGTTGTGGTCTTTTTGTTTCCGTGTTTTGAAGAAATCTTACAGGACGTGGTTTTCCTTTCGAAGTCACCAACAGGTGAATAATTACGCTAAATAATAAATAAAAGTATTTATTAAGAATTTCCTCAGAGTATGTAAGTACAAGGAGTCTAGCGACAGTGAATTTCGGATACGTTTCTGTCGATGTCGGGCAGCGGAGCTCGACAGCGCGCACCTGTCGAAGCAGTTAGGAGGAGAGCGGCGTCTCCTAGGTGTGGACGAGGTGGCGGGATGGCCGCCTGGGATTGGCTGCCACTGAGAAGCAGCCGGGGCGGGGTGGCAGGCGGAAGAAAGGTAAGGACTGCTCTTTGATGACTTTCGAAGCTGGTTTCTGGGCACGTGGAACTGTGACGTGGCTTTACATCCCGACGAGAACACCTTTTCTTTCTGAGGATTGGTAACTGAGTTGGGGTGCGGGAGCGTGTTCCCACAGACCTGCCTGAGGACTTGCAGATCGTCTGTGATAGACGCCATATCTCGCAAGGTGCTTCTGGAAAAATCGGGCGCAGTGGAGGTTGTCCTCCAGGCAATCACTGGGCGAGGCCCTTGGGGAACGCAGCTAACTAGAGCCAGGCCTGACGTGACTCCTCTGAGAGTGGAGGGACACCACGTAGAGAATTTGCTTTGAAGGAAGTACGTCAACAAATTCTTGCCTTCTTAAAGTTCCCTGGCTTAGGTGAAGGTTTTTAAAGGCTCTTATTGGAATAAAAAGAGGGGAGGGGACACCATGTTTCAGGTCTAGGAAGGAAGAGAGTGTGTGTGAGGAGCTGGGCAGCCCCTTTGCTTGGGAGCTGGCTTCTGGGCTTCCTGGGATGGGCACCATGGGTGCTTGGTGCCATTTTGGAATCCTTTCTTGGGACAACGCCATTTTAAGGGGCCTTTCCAAATGGAGGGAAGGCTTTTCGAGGGAGAAGGCTGTTGTGTGTGGGTTGGGCTTGGGGGGAGGGAGGAGGGAATCTACATGTTACTTTATTTGTAGTAGTGTGGACCAGTGTTGTTACCGAGTGCCAGCTTAGAGGTATTTGCAAACTTGTCTAGAAATGAGAGCATGTTTGTTTTTTTGCTTGTTTTTTTTTTCGTGTTTTGTTTTTAGCCCCTTGTGAGTCTAGATCTAGATGAACATTCTTGCTCATCCATGAATAACTTCAAGCCTCAGTGTCAGAATCGTGTTGGAATTCTCTTTCTTATCCTGGCATTCCAGACAGGACCAGGTTCATTACATTTCCTTCCATAAACATGAACCTGGGTTGGCATCACTCATCCTGCCTTTGTCAAGCCCTGTCTTTGGGTGAGGCCAGAGTTCCCGCTTCCTGTTTTTAGAAAAGCCAAAGGCTCCCTCATTCCCTAGGAGCTGCTTGGCTGAATAGGGGTGAGGTGTGGAGGGGTTAAGTTTCCTGGACGATGGACCTATTTAGAGATGGCACGGCTGGCCGTTCACACTTTTTCCTTGATTCCTGGAAGTTGCTCTATGTTTTGTGTTGAATGAGGTCCAGTGGGCTCTGCAGCTGATCTGTGGGTTCCAACAGCAGATAGAGCTGGGTGCGGGGGGGGCGGCTACTGCGGGAGGAGGAAAAGGAACCCGGAACAGACTCACTTTCTATAGAACCAAGTGCACATCCGCCAAAACCCGTGTTTTCCCAGACTGGGTTCCAACCATATGGACGGCCGGAGCTCAGGTCCAGCCCCAGACATGTCTTCCCCCACTTTCCAGTCTTCTGTCACTGTGTCAAACTATTTATAAAGCCATTTTCTTTGTACTTGACAGCGTGAGTCCCAGAACTCTCAGAAATAAAAATAGGAAATTGGCTTGATTGGAAAAGGGGATTTTTTTTGGGGGGGGGTCATAATTCTGCCACCAGAAGCCTCTTTGATGACTCGAAATAACTCTAATGAAGACCCCACCGCAGGGTCAGTTCAAATGGCCAGGTGGGTTTCCATCAGCGTCTCTCCCATGAAGTGATTTCCGGTGATGCAGACTTTCTGTGATGGCCAGAAAACATTGCCAGTTTCACTGATTATCAGCCACGCTGTTGGCTACCTTGGATCTTCTCTAGAGATCAAGGGTGCTGTCCGCTGCCGGAGCCTTGTGTGACCGAGGCTGTTTGTGGAGCACTAAGGGTAGCGGACCTGACTTTCCTCAGGAGACGTATCAGGCCGAACATGCCGCGAACAGGCGGCTGGGAGCTCACTGTTTTCAGTCCTTTCCTCCTGAGGCCGTTTTGCTCAGGTTCTTGTTGGAGCTGGATTCCAGAGTTTCCAACAGCGTTGGGAGGCCATGAGAAAAAACGTAAACATCTGCGGGAAAGTGGACAGAGGGAGGCAGGAGGGTTGATAGGGATGGGAGGTGGCCTCCGAGCCCGTAGCGTCGAAGCGGTGGTTCACCTTGGCTGTCCGCTGGCATCAGCTGGGGAGTCTGCTACCGGGCTATCCCAGACCAACTAAGCCAAGATTTCTGGAGCTGGGACCCAGGCGTCCGTGTGTTTCCGAGCTCCCCACGTGTGCCCCATGTGCAGCCAAGGTGGAAAAAACCGCCTTGCTTTCTGGAAGGCTAGGTGCTACTGGAGGTCGGTCTTCCTGACACAGAACTAGCTTGTCTCGAAGAAACCACAGCCCGGGGTTGGTCACCGGCTCAGCAGGGTCTTGCCACCAGTCCCAGTCCTTGGCTGAGGGACAAGATGGTTTCTCTCAGGAGCCCAAGGAGCATGCGACCTCCTGAACGGGGCACCTCTCAGGATCCTTGAAAGTCATCGGATCTGTGGAACATTGTTGGCGAACTGAACACAGTGTCTGGACGTTGAGGTCTTAAGTTTTCCTTGTCGAGCAAGAAAGATGGGGGGTTTTCAGCTCTTGAAGATAACCCCATCCCCGAAGGGCACCTTGCCAGTTCTTAGAGCTTGTGGGTCGTATGAGGAAGAGGCTTCTTCGAGACAGAGCAATGCAATACTTGTAACTTTTGTAAATAGCCCCATCTTTCAGAGTGATGTCATTTCTACATTTGATATGCTTGTATTTCTGTAGGATGTATATAGTTTAGGGGATTTTTTTGTTTGTTTGGTTTTGTTTTTTAGAAAAGTTGACATGTGTGTTTTTATTTATTGCTTGAAAAAGATCATTTGAAGAAAAATAAATACATTTTCAACCACCTCTGGCCTGGCTTATCCTTTCCTTGAAAATGGCACTGCTGGGATGACTCGGAAGAGAAGGGAAGGACTGTGTCACTTAACGCCCACTCAGTGACGTTGACAGTAAGATGGTAGACCAACTGGTAACATCAGAGAGTCCATTGTGCTCCCTGAACACCACTCAAGGACAGTGACAGGGGATGGCTGACACGCATCTCTGAGAACCTGATTTCTCTAGTCAGACTCCTAGGGGAAGAATTAAACAGTGAGAGACAGGGAGTGTCCTTCCTCTGACAATCTCCTTAGGGCCAAGCACAGGATGGAGTGACAAGGATGGCTCCTTGGTGGGAGAAGCCAATCAAACCACCTAAGCAGGAAGTGATTGGGGCTGGAGTAAAATGTGTACAGAATCACCGCCACTGGGATATTGTCACCCCATCGATAACAAGGGGCTCCTGCCTGACTCGCACAGAATCTCAGGAAAGTTGGGACCATTGAAATTAGCAGTATTTTTCAAGGCCAGATTTAAGACCTACATGGATAAAGATTCTATAAATCAGTGGCCCCCCAGTGCTGATCTGTGGATTTTTTTACCAGATTCCATTGGTACAGAGTTTCCAAATTGTAAACCAAAAACGTAATTGGTAAACCTGCATTCCCACTATATCATTGTTATTTGACATTCTGGAAGCACTACCCAGTGTGATTGGCAAGCGATAAAAATGAGGTATACTGTTTGGAAAGCAGGAAGCCAAATGGTTTGCAGAGGATATGTGCCAGGAAAACACAGGAGAATCGACTAAAAGATGATCAGAAGTAAGAAGATTCGGTAAATACTTGACTGTAAAATTACTGTGAGAAAATCAATAGGCCTCTTATGTGAACATAACAGTTAACAAAGTGGAAGTAGTAGATCCAATTTACAGTATATCTTAAAGGTGAAATACCTACCGGGTGCCTGGGTGGATCCATCGGTTAAGCATCCGACGTTAGCTCAGGTCATGATCTCATGGTTCATGAGGTCGAGCCCCACTGGCTCAGGTCATGATCTCACGGTTCGTGAGGTCGAGCCCCACACTGGGCTCGGTGCTGACAGCACAGAGCCTGCTTCAGCTCCTCTGGCCCCCTCTCTCCCTCTGCCCCTCCCCCACTGGCTCTCTCAATAAATGAATAAACTTAAAAAAAAAAAAAGGAAATGCCTAAAGTAAAATTACCGGAGGTAGGCAAGACCTATGTGACGGACATCGTACAGCCCTACCAAGGGGTTTCTGAGAACACATGAAAAAAGCAAAAGACCTACTGTGCTCTCAGACAATACTGGAAAAATATTATTTCTCCATAAACTAATCTATACATTTACTGTGATCTCACAACACCAACAGGATTTGTGAGGGACGTGGGAAAACGATCCTGATTTCACCTGGAGAACTAAATATGCAGAAAAGGGCAGGAAATCTGGTAAAATAATGGATGGGAGAGAATGACAAGGTGAGGGGAGGGGTATCTATTTTTCTCGACTGTGAAACATTATCTAAAAAATAGAGATTCTTGGGCTCACCTAAGACTGACTGAGCCAGAGACCCTACAGACTCCCACAGGTGATCTCTGGTTTATAGCTCCGGAATGCCTGGTACAGCTCTGTCTTCTTCCACCCCTCTTCCATTCAACCCCCCAGACCATGGCTTCAGATTACTGTCAATATTACTATGACAACTTACCCCAAGAGCTTCCTTGTATAAGCCAGTTACCACTTTATTTTTCTGACAAACGTGTAGATTAGAAGCTTGGGAAAGGCCCAGCTGAGGAGTCCTCCCTTGGCATCTCTGTGGTGGTCACAGTCCCTGACAGGCAGTCGGGCTGGGCTTCCAAAATGGCGCACTCAAATGGCTGGCAATGATGCTTTCAGCTGAGTTCAGTTGTGACAGTCGCTTGGAGCGCCGACACACGCCCCCTCCCGAGAGCAGTCGGATTTCTCATAAG